CCCCAAAACCCCAAAACCCCAAAACCCCAAAACCCCAAAACCCCTTTGGCATGAGGATAATTGAACTTTATTTTCCAGATCTCTCATTCTCTGTTCTTTAAGAAGTTCGGTTAGTGCATGCTTCTAATCGAACATTTTCTTTCTAGTAAAAAGGTACTTTTAGCTCTTTAGATTCCGTTTTCCCTTAAAATCTGAGATTTTTGTAAATCTCTTTTGTACATCATCATGTTATTGGATTTCTTAGCCTCATTGGCTTTGTTCTTCATCTTTCTTCTCAGTAGGGTTAAGATAGCAAAGGATTTTCTTGTCTTCTCAACCTGGTTGAAGTTCTCTCTCTGTCTAGCAAGCTTAGCATCTGGAGACACAGCTCTCCTAGCTGAAAGAGTTGTCAGGTATTTCTCCTTGTTTATGTGCTTCTGAATGGTCGATTCAAGGAAATCACTGTGGAGGATCTCCTGAGTCTTTAGGTTACCTTGAACTTTCTCCTCATTCTTTATATTACGAGACTTTATTTCAGCCTTTATAGATGCTAGTTTCTTTCTGTAGGGTAACTTTTATGAAATTTACCGTTGATTTTTCAAGAATTTCGTACTTTTTAGTTCTTTATCTATCAAAGTTTTCTTCCTTTTCTCCTATGAGATGATAATGAAACTATACAGTGTCTTCAAGTATGGCCTTTGTCTTGTTCTTTTGACATTGGGCTTCGTATTTTCTACTAGTTTGAGCAGTTCTGATAGCTTTGTCTTGGAAGTATCTATCACGTTGGTTTACAGCATCAAATAGCCTGGTTTCAATGTCCATTAACTTTACATCAACTCTTTCCTGATCTTTGATCATCATAATAGCTTTCTGTCTGCTCTTGAAGTATTTTTCAGAGTGACTCCTAATCTTTTGGGCACGGAGGAGTTCTACCAGATTAGAAAAGATATACCTTTCTCTTTGAGACGCTTATTTTCATGCTTTTGTTTTCGCTCTGATGGTATCCATAAGCTTATCAGCCTTGTCTTCCTGGAGAATCTCTAGCTGGGTTCTGATAATGTCAGGATCAATGCTATGAATTATATTAAGAGTATACCTCTTCTTAGACTTGGACTTTAACCTCCCAAGCTTTTGAGGGAGGATTGGCTTTTGATAACTACTGGTGATCTCTGGAATCTTACTGCTTAGAAATAACCCTTTCTGGTCTTTCATTCTTGAAGTAGTTCTTGAGAATTTTCATTCTTTTCTCTTGGTCTTTCTCGAACTTCTCATTAAATTCTTTTGATTTGGCAACATCTAAGCTATCTATACGGTCAGGCTGATAATACTGAAGTATTTCATAGGACACCCTCCCTTGCCAGGAATGAAGTTTAGTCACTTTGCTTTAGTTTTATTTGGATTAGGAGGTGGTGGATCCACATTTGTGATAAAAGTAGCCCTCCTTACACTTTTAACCGACCTTGTGTTTTGATTCAGCGGGCTCTCAAAAGATTCTTTTGCCACTCTTGATGTCCACTAGAGAAAGTTTGGATTTACATCAAGTAAAGAAGAGGAATCCTTCTAGTAATATTTTGCAATCTTTCAGTTAATCTTACCTGTGGAGACATCAATTTCCAAGACTGTTGCAAATTCTGCATATTTCCTAAAACTTGTTACTAGAATGGTCCTACTTGAGCTTAATGGAGATTGATAACTCGTAGGGTGTATTTTAAGTTCAGACCCTCTTAATGGCTGTGTGAGTAAATCTGCTGGGTTTACTCCCAAATCAAATCATGCTTCCTAAATATTCACAGGTTAAAGACCACTTCTGAGGTTGTAAAAGGCTTTATCAACCAATTCAGGAGTTGAGAAATCTACTACTGCTGGTAGGAGCACAAAGAATTGGATTTTTAGCAAGGATAATCAATTCCTACAATTTCTCTATCAGAGAGAACCAAATTTTCCTGTTGATTTTTTGACATTTTTTGGCTTGAAATATTAAAATAAAACTTCAAAGTTTATATATTTTAGGGGTTTTGGGGTTTTGGGGTTTTGGGG